TCCAAAAGCATAGAAACAACAAGAAACAATCCCTTGGGTTCTACCTCAGTGTAATTACAATTATTTTAATAAGTTAATTACCCAAGCCATCAGCTTCACTGGAAACTAATCACAGCTGAGACAGTACATGGAATGGTCGTGATTTCACTTATCTGCAGACATTCTGCAACATATGAGGGCTCGGGAGAGTCAGGGAATAATGCAAGACGGCTTTTGCTCTTTGGCTTACCATCTAGTGGAGAATACAGACAAACCAACAATTGAAATCAAATGTGATAAGGGCCAGGGTGGAGGTACACTTGAAAGTGCTCTGGATGTGGTGTGCATGGGACTCATCTGAGAAGCTTTTGGAGAACTCTAGGTGGCCAGACCCCACTCCTGAGCCTTCTGATGCAGTAAGTTCAGGTGAGGTCCAGGAGTTAGAATTTTTCAAAAAGGCTCCATAGCCTCGGTTGTGATCCACTGCATCGTGATACATGGTGGTGGGGTACTTGATTTGTTTTTTTAGTGGCAGGGGATTGGGGAGTATAGGCAGGAAGCCAGGGCCTTCTGAGGAAGCTGACATTTGAGCTGAATGGTGAAGAAGGAGAAGTTAGCCAGGGGACTGGGACATGGTGGACATAGTGGGGTGTGGGGGTGGAGGGCTTTTTGGCCGCAGGAGTGGAATGTGAAGTCCTGTAGGCTGGATGCTGGATGTGAGGAACTGGTAAGAGAGAAGACCTGCGGGAAAGCGGGGCTAGGTCCTCAAGGGGCCTGTGTACCTTCCAAGGAATTTGCCTTTGTCTTCTGTGCCAAGGCTTCTCGGCAAGGTTCTGTGTAACCGAGAGTCCAAATCGCCTCCAGTGCTTGATTTTAATGCAGATTCTTGGGTCCCACTCTAATCCATCATCTCTGGGGGAGAGCCTGAAATTCTGCATTTTTAACAACCATCTTAGCTACAAGTAGGATGGGCTGTGTGGTCTCTGGCCCAGAATGGTACTGGTTTACTGATTGGGACAGTGTCATTACTAATAGCATCCTTCTGCAACTCACAATAGTGTCTTGGTTTGGATGAGAAATTATATGGTCACCCTAGCTATGGGGAACACAAAAGGATTTCCATCAGGTGAGCTACTGGATGGGGTAGACATTTGAGAATAGTCGCTGTGTAGTAATGTCATGAATGGACCAGAGGCGGGGAGTCTCATTGAGTTAGGTTATGTAGGTTCTGGAAATGCTTATGTCTCAGTTGTTGGTCTGCAAATATGAGTGCCTGCTCTGTGTCAGCACTGTGTTGGGCCTGAGGATGGAGCAAGGAACAGACACCCACAAATCCCTGCCCTTGGCGAGCATCTGTTTAGTGGGACAGAGAGAGAAAAAGCAAGGCAAGCATGTTCTATTTTACGTGGTGATAGGTGCAAGGGCAAGGAAGGACGTTGGGGAGGGGATAGGACGTGTTGGGGGTGTGCCCTTCAGGGAATGGTTGAAATTTTATATAGGATGGTCAGGGAAAGCCTTGCAGGGAAAGGTGGCATCGCCCCTGAAGAGGTGAGGGGTCTAGTCATGCACATATCTGGGGTGTCAGCATTCTAGGAGTGTGAGCCAAGGGTTCAAGGATCAGCAAGGAGACTGATGTCAGTACCACGGAGGGAGCTAGGGGGAGAACAGGAGGGGACAGGGTCAGGGAGGTCACGGGGAGCCACAGGGTAGGGGGTTGGAGCAGAGGAGTGACAAAACCTGGTGTAGATTTCAGTAAGCTCCCCATGGCTACTGTGTAGACAACAGACCGGAAGGGGAAAGAGTTGAATCAGAGTCTAGCAGGTAGGAGGCTATTGCAGTCATCAAAGTGAGAGAGGATGGTGGCTTAGACCAGAGCAGTGGGGTTGAGGAAGGGAGAAGTGGTCAGATCCGAGATAAGATTTGAAGAAAATTTGCAGCGTAGAGCCTGTGGGGCTTGCTGAAGATTGCCTGTTGGTAGGAGAGAGGAGTCAAGGACGAGCCAGTGTTTGGGGCTTGCAGAAAACAGTGTTGCTGAGGTGGAGAAGCCTCTAAGTGGAGCAGGGTTAGGAAGTTAGCATGCTCTCAGCCCTGGTTGTATCAGTGAGGAGATGTCAGATGGATGTTCCAGAGCAGAGGTCAGAGAGGCAGTTGGTTTACAGAAGCCTGCAGTTCAAGGGTGGTGTCTGGGCTGGAGATCTGAATTTGGGAGTTACGGGCATAGAGGTGGGGCTTAAATTCACAAGGCAGGAGAACAGAAGAACGCTGGATGCCTGGAAAAGGGAACCGGAATAGGAACGGGCAAGGTGCCTTCTCCTGATACGTAGTAGATAAGAGCGACGCGACTCAGTGAGCATTCTGATGTGAGAGTGAAGTGGGGCGTGGGCTCCAGGGGAAACCGCAGCGTTAGAGCCTGAGGTACATGGGTAAGGCATGCTTTTCTCTGATTTAGGGAGCACAGGGGTGGGAAAGGGGTCGGGTTGCAGGCTGGGCGTCTAATGCTGGTTTAGACAGGTTGAGCCGGCAGTGGGGTCTCTGGGACTGACTCGTGGAGATGTCTCATAGGATCATAGGCCTCCAGATTGGGAAAGTCCAGGCTGGAGAAAGAAGCTGGGAGTCCCCAGCCTGCAAGTGGTTGTTGACACCAGGAGTGTGGAGGGAAATCGCACAGACTAAAGAGGAGACAGGGTACAGGAAATGTGGCCTCCCTTCTCTGCTCTGTCCTCGTGACAAGCTCTGGTTCACGTTCTTCTTTTAAGAGTGGCTCTGCGGGCATGGTTCCGCCATGCGCCCTGGACTGTGGGCCCTCCCCTCTCTTCTCAATGTTGTACTTCTCTTAATGCTGATGAAGATACGGTCCTGCGAGAGGATGTGGCTTGCTCAAGGTCACGGAGCTGGCTGGGGACAGAAACAGGGCCTGGATCCAGACCTCCTGTCTACCAGCCCACGATACCACATTGTTTATAACTCTGTTGGTCAGGATGCTTCTGGTTGCAGGTAGAAAACACACGAATCGTTCTAGCTCAAGCCAAAAAGGAAATGTCTTGGCTCACATCACTGCTGCAGACAGGAAAGGATGGCCACATGCACATTTAGAGCCAGAGTTGCGGGGTTGTTGGGGCTCCCCATCTCGTTTTTTTTTCTTTTTCATGTCTTACTCTTCTATCTCTGTGGGTTCCATGAGGTGGTGGAGGTAGGGAGCGGCCTCTAGCAGCCCTGGGGGTTCATCTATGCAGCTCAGGATCCAAGAGGAAAGCCTGGGATTGCCCTGGCCTGGGTTACTCCCCTCCAAGTGGGGTAGGAGGAGCAAGGGGTCAGCCCCTCTTCCCTGTCCCCACAGAATCCTACGAAGTAGGGAGGGGCAGTTCCCGACAGCAGAGAAGTGTCCTTATCAGCAGAAAGGGGAAAAGATGCTGGGCAGATGGTAACAAAAGGGGTGGGTGAGCAGGCGGGTTCCTACTGTTAGATTTGCGATCAGGGGTAGATGCTGGCAGAGAAAAAGGCAACATGGCAAGAAAAATATGATGTCTTTGGGCAATAAGGATGACAGCTTTTAAAAGGAAGCTAATATCCCTCTCTTTTCCCTCCTTCTTCGTCTTAGTTATTCATTGTGGTAAATAGATTCTTAACATATGTTAGGAATGCCTGCCCATTCAGTGAATGTTTGCACTTACATTTTCACCCCCACAGATAACTACTGGGCCCACTTGGTCAGAGACTGCAATTTAGATCTGTAGTAGAGGACACCAGGTATCTTTATTTCACTCTTTAGGTTATTTTACATACTGCCTTAGGAATTCCAGGGTTTTCTATCCTTCTAATATAGGAGTGTGGATTTAATTAGTGATGAGATTTTTTTTAAATGGCTGGAACATTGTTTGCAGTGAAAGCTACCTGCAAGGTAAACTTTCACAAGTATCTTTTGCCCTTTTACTTGATTTCTTCAGTGCTTTGATGTATTGAGAGAGGAGCCTGGCCTCTGGGGGCAATTTTTAATTCCATCACTGCCTAGTTTGCTTATGTGATCCCTTAAGTCAGGTGAGCACAGCCCAACCACTTAAAAGTCATGTGATCTTGGTCAAACACTGGAGCCTCAGTTTTCTCACCTGTAAGATGGGTCACCATGAGGCTGGGGTGAGGCTGTGTGCAGAAATGTGTTGAACACGTCCGAGCAGCATGCCATTGTCCTTCATTGCTGTGTTCTCGTAGAAGGCACTGGCTAGTGTCTGTGGCTTTGGCCTCAGTTTTGCCCTCTGGCTTGGTGAGCTGGTCACTATTGGGTTGTCCTATATCCTGCAAGAACAGCCCCAGTGGAGCTGGAGGCAGGCCCACCCCTTTCTGATGGGCTGTGTCACCTCTGCACCTCAGTTTTCTCATCTCAGAACCATGTTGGCTAATCCCTGTTCTGCCGTCTCATCATGCTGTGGTAGTGAGGCTCTGATATAATGATGGACCAGAAACGCCTTTTGTAACTTTTCAAAGCACTTACAGAAGTGTAAGGTAGAATCATTACTATACACATGACATAACTTTTCTAGTCTGTTCTTTTTAAAGTCACACAGTCAGCTGAGCTCCATTAAGAGTCACTTTGATTCACTTGAAATTACATTATTTTCTAGATTTAAAACTACGACCATGAAATTGATTGCATTTTTGAAAAGCATATGCTGTAAGATAAATATTTCACTTTTGAATTAATTTTCTACTTACATTACATTAAGAATATTCATGCTATATAATTGTAATTAAGTAATATTTTATTAAATGATAGAAGATAACATGCTTAACTGTCTAAGGCTTAGAATCTTAACCTTAAAATAAATTGGTTGAGTCATTTAAAATCAACTTGGAACCTGATTTTACTTCCTAGCTGTCCGTCAGTATTTCAGTTCTTATATTAAATGTAAGGCTAACCAAATAGTCTAATTAAAGTTCCTTTCCTAAAAAAATAAATGTACATATATCCCTAGTCAGTGCTCATTTTTCTCACTGACAGCCTGTGTCTTAAAATATTTTAATCACACTATTTCTTTTAGTCCTACAGGATCACATGTTGAATGGTGTAAACAGCTTATAGCTGCTACAATTTCTAGTCAGATTTCAGGTTCAGTGACATCAGAAAATGTATCCAGAGATTACAAGGTAAGCAGCATTGAGTCCTTAATTCATTTTCAATATACTAAGTAGCCAAGAAGCTTTGCAATTTTAATTCGAGTGAGACTTTGGCCCCTTGATGCTCAACGACCATTTGCTTGGGAACAAGGATGAAAGGTTCTCTGTTGTTAGATTTGAACTTCAGAAGAGAAATTTCACCAGGATCTAGTATATGTGATCATAGTTTTATAATTGAGAGAAAAGCTGACTTTAGATTATGATCATTCTTTTAAAAATTCAGTTCCATCTTATTATTTTATTATATGTTTAGGTTTTATTATAATAAATGCCTTATTTTCTTTGTTAGTATTCTGAATTTCAGAAAACGTCTGATATGTAGTCTTTCCCTAACTTCACAATTTGTTTCTGTATTTATGTACTACCTGTGGGTTTTCAGCATTAACATGTGATACTAGAATGCAAGAAATTTGCAAAATCTCAAGAATATTGTATGGGCAGCCTCGTGTTGTAGTCCTTATTGAATTGAGAAATCTTTTCTTGTTTATTTTAAAAGTTGGATTCCCTGCTTATTCTAAAGTTAAGAGTGATAAGCTCCTTGTCAGCAGAGGCTGGGGCTCTTTTTCTCACCACTGCTCCCCCAGCACGATCCTGGAACATCACAGGTGCTCAATAAATGCTTGTTGAATCAATTAACAAATAAAACGCTTGCGTGCTCCATCTTTGTTAAGGCTAAAGACTAACTTTGTTTTAATGTCAAGAAACTATTAACTGGTACATTAAATGAAACCATGTGTACATTTCAGCAGTAGTCCGCTTGAATTGAGGTTTCAGTTCATTATAATCATTTTTACCTGTTAGTAAGAAAGAATTGATTTTCACCAGTATGTGCAAATCACATTTAATAGCTTGTGCTACCCTAGGCTAACATCTCTCAAAACCATGGCTGTTGCCAGGCATCAAATCTTACAGAGAAACTCGAGAGCTACAATAACCATCCTGTCATTGTTAACAGCTGTCCTTGTTTAAGGGCTCTAGCCTCAGTTCCTCTCTAGCTTGTAATGTAGCAAGTGCAGAAACTGACTCCAGAGGCGGTGTAATTGAGGTCTGGCTCTGGTGCTCGACTTGCTTCCTCCTCCCCACTGGATGCTGTTGATGATGCCTACCAAAGGCAAGCATGACTGTGGGTTAATGGAAGTTGGATAACATGCCCAGCCAGGAGACTGAGAGTATAGTCCTGATAGGTTTCCCTGCTATCTGATTTTCGTCTTTGCCCACGTATGAGCAGCTGGGGCTCCTGTTCCTTAAAACCCAGCTGGGAAGATATGCAGTTTCTAGGTGGGAGAAGCATTTGCTGCATCAGCTATGCCTGAGTGGCTGGCTACTGAACAGCTGCTGGCCCCACTGGTCACAGGTGCCCTTTTGCCCCCACCTTAGCTGAGAAACTGCCCCACTGAGTGGAGAGGCTCACAGACCCATATTAGCAGAGAATAACTTTCAGATCTTGGATTGCTTTTCTTTATGGACAATTATGAGTTAACTGTAATGTTTTCATTATGACTGAATAGTTGTTAGTGCTGTGCAGGTTCCATAAAAGGATGCTGACTGTGTGTGTAGCTGTCTAACCTTTGCATTAATAGATCAGACTGAATCTATACTCTAACTTAAAGCAGCGACTTTTTTAAAAAAAATTTTAGTCTATTTACAAATTTTGTATAGCAGAATTAGTTCGTGTTGGAATGGTTTAACAGATGGTATTCAGAAAAAAAATAAGGCTTTTCCATATTTTGCAAATTGAATTTTAAGTACCTGCATCAGATCATAGCTAGAACCTTAGATGAGTTCTTATAAGAGAGCCGTCTTTGTTAGATATGCCCTGTAGCCAAGTCTGCACGTTTGGTGTTAAATTTATAATTCAGGATTTGTTAGGCTTTCTTTAAGGAGAGAGTTTTTTAAAATAATAAAATCATAAAATGTTTCTAAACCACAGATCATTTTACATGCTACTTATTAAAGAGTTCTTAAAATCAGGGTAACCAACATGGGCCTTTGGGACACCTCTGGCCTGGGAGCCTGCTACATGGAGTTGGCCCTGAAGGTCCAGACACAATTCCTTGAAGATTAAATTTGCAGTCATCAGTTGATAATATTTGAAATTATATATTGTGCAAATATCTTATTTGAAATACACACTCAGTCTGGGGGTTAATTTATTGTAGGTTAAACTAAACTCAATATTGTAGGGAGCAGATGTTTATGTGGAGCGGAGCGCGTGCGTCTTGATTTGAAATGCTGATTGTATGCTCAGTTGGCTGCTGAGACTGGTTCTGTGTCATCCTCATCAGCCCTCTAGTATGTGCAGGGCTCTGTGGTTTTGCAATACTTTTTTTTTTTACGTATCATCCATTTAATTCTTAAACCAACCCAGTGAGGTAGCTTTTATCATAATTGTCATTTAATAGATGAAGAAAGCAAGGCTCAGAGAGGTTAAGTGACTTGCTTATTAGTATTACAGAGTTAGACTTGAGACTTGAACCCTAGCCATTCCTATCGAAAAGCTAGAGTTATTTTAAAAATTTCCCCCCACCTTCTTGTTCACTATTTTTCAAAATGTGGCCCTTGGGTGTTCTGGCATCAGCACTTCCTGAGGTGCCTGCAAAAATGCAGCTTCCGTGGTACCCGTCCCACTCAGTGAATCACAATCTCTGAGGGTGGGGAACAGTGTGTCTCATTTATTTCTTATGTACAATAAAATATGAAAAGCTAGGCTTCCCTAGCTTTGTATCTGTTGAAATTGGTGATAAGACCATACATTTCTGGTGCATTCCCACAAATCTGAATAATTAGCAACTCATGTTAGACTTTGGAGAAGAATTGTTCTATTATTTACTCATATCATAAGTTGAAAGTCAGCCCAGGGTCGGATCACCCAAGCTGTGGTAAGCATATCACTGGTATTACATGAGGTGAGTTTAGATGGTATGGCCATGAACATGTTTTAACAGTTATGTAATGATTTTAATGTGTATTAGAGAAACTAGCACATCAGACTTGTGATTTAATGGATATTATTGCTTAAAGCCAGGGAAAGTATGAAAAGGAGTAGATTTAAAGTCAGTATAAAGGTAATACCAGTACGGGCGGTACGTAGATACAACAAACCAGACTTGCAGAGGCAGTGTGTGAGGCGCCAGAAGTTTGGAAAGCATTGTCCCAGCTGAGAAAATAGATAGCTACGTGTGAACTGTGAATGCATGAAGTTAATAAATGTATGCCTTAATACCAAATCATCCCTGAATATTTACCCGATGATTAAGACTCCTAGAAGAAATGTAATAAAATACAATGTAAACGTGTTTTGTTTGTCCACCTCTCCCCCACTACTCACTCAGTTGCTTCCATTTTTACTGAGCTAAGAAAGAGTAAAAATCTCTCCTGAATTTGTCAAAAAATTTAAGACTAAGATCTGAATGTAATGTTCCAAAGATTAGATGAAATTATGCAGTTATAAATTGTAATGAAACATTTTTAGGAACTATCAGTAGAAGTGACACAGTTGATCATTTTCCACTGCTTGGAAAGTAGAGCTGGGCCGAGAACAGGGAACATGGTGGAGTAGCACAAACAGTGCTGGTCAGCTTTGTGGCCTGCTGTAACCTCTGAGTGTCAGTTTCTTTTTCTGTAAGGATAAGAGAGTTTGGATTAGATTTGAAGTCTCTAAATTCCTTTCTTTCTAGAACATTCTTCAATTTTGTCCAAAAGGATTTGGTTTTGGCCAGCCTTCAGGCAATTAGGACACTATAGTTCTAATGTGATCATTCTCTTTCCTCTGGCTCCATCATCATCACCATCACGTCTCTGTACCTCTCCTCCCGTTTCTCCTCTCTGCATCCCTTCGCACACAGTGCTCTTTCTTAAACATTCTGAAGAAAAAGGAGAAAATGGCAAGAGTCCTTTACTAAATTTAATCATTTAATAGGTTAGTACAGTGATTAAATTCTGTATCCTTAACAGAAATTTTCAGAAGGGCTTTGGAGGGAAGTGGGAGGCAGTGTACGGGGAAGGCTTCATTTCACTTGAGCTAGGTCTGGTTTTGTATTTCTTAAAGTACTAGTCTATGGAGGGAAGCATGAGCATAATCTTTCAGAGTCCATGGCCATAATCCACTGCTGGTAACTTGGCCTCATGATCAGAGTTTGCAAACTGAGATGTCTACATGGGATAGTTAACAAGCTAGACAGACAGGGGAGGGGGCTGTGGAGGACTGGAGACTACAGTATGTCCCCCAAAAACAATTAAATAAAAAAACCAACCCTGCTACTGCCTGTTTGAGCAACAGGCCTCCAGTTTGTAACTACTATAATGTCAGGGCACTATCCTATCTCCCAGGGTGACTTGTCGGGTAGAATTATTTCTTAAAAATATCAAGATTTGGGCTTTTGCTGCTGGAGAGATGGAGGAGATGTGCTGTTTCTTATTTTTCACACTAAGTACAACTAAAATCCCTGGACATTACCCATCAATCAAATAAACCTGAGAATGTCTCGAAAGGTAGCGAGAAGAAGGCAGACTGGTTAGGGGCCTCAAGACCCAAGACAGGGTGGTGATGTCCTTGGGTTTTGTTTTGGCCACATGTGTCCCACATTTGTTGCTGAAGAAGCCAGCTACACAGAAATGCCAACGAAATCCTAGTCTCTCTAGCTAAAGGACCAGGAAAGGGGCAGCCTAGTAAAAAGAAAACTTTTCAACACTAACCACTGTACTCCCGTGAAACACCACAGGAAAAGATGAGGCCCCACACCCACCCCACCAGCACGGCCAAGTGCAGAGCGTAGATTCCAAACTTGCCAGGCTGTAGTGAGGCTCACCAAACCCTGCAGTGGTGGCATCGGGAGGCCTAGTGGAAAGTTGGGATTTTGACCACTGCCCATTGGCATGGAGGCTACCCTTCCACTGTGGTATCAGTGGAGGCCATGTGGGGGCAGTCATGAGGTGCCCCTGCCACTCCCAGCCAGGGAAGGATCAGTGGA